CGCCGCCGAATGTTCCCAAGGCAAGCACCCGTGAAAAGTGCTCCCTCACTCATAAGCAGACGTACAAATCCTTAGGTCCAGACGCTTATGTTTCATGCTCTCTTATGTGCTCCAGGGAGCGAGGTCGAGTGTGGGTCGTCCTCGCCCGCCCAGGCTTCCCAGGTGGGGCCTTTCCTTCCAGGCCTCCGCGAGGATTGAGGGTCAAGGGCTTTGGGGTGTCTGCGTTGGTTTGCTTGCTTCGGCGGCGCGCCCAGGGGGAAGGAAGAGGTGATGGGCCTTCTCGGAAGGCTCAGAAGGCTTCTGGCCTTCTGAGAAGCTTTCTGAGCATTCTCCGAAGATGCGGGAGGTTAGGGGACCTCCAGAGGCCTCTGGGGACTTCTGGAGACCTCCAGGGGCCTCCCATGAGCAGACTTGGCCGCACCGCCCCGCCGATACATTGGCAATGCAGTGTTGTCTGGCCAGACCTTTTCTGGACTCGTATCACCCATGCATCGGCGATACGTTGCGACTTTCGGGCCCCGTTGGATCTGATCACGCCCTTGGAGTCCTCCATCCATGGACTTCGGCGAGATTCCCCCTGGATTGTGGATGGGGGACGCCAGGGGTAGTGGGCATCTTTGACCCCCTCTGCATCCGCCGCTCACCCCTCCGTGTCTCCCCTCCTCCTGAGATTTGTGTTGCTGATGTTGCTCATCTCCCTTTTCTCCCTCCACCTCCTTGCGCCCACCCCGCGCACCCTTCCGTGGTCACACCCCAGAGGTTTTGGGGGGCGGACGATACGTGTTGGGTGCAGTTAGTTTCGGCCCCGCCGCTGGGCCAAGCCAGAAGGACGTAGTCACCGATCATGGACTGAGGGGCTCGACCATGATCCATGAGGTGGTCAGTTGACGTTTCCCAGCCAAAGCGGCCAAAGAGCGCCAACGACGGAGGAGGAGGTGGTGGAGGAGGAGGAGGAGGAGGAGGAGGCGCCTCTACTGCCGCCGCTGCCGTCGGCGCCGTGATTGTCGCCCCCGTTGTTGTCGTCGCCGTCGTCGTCGCCGCCGCTGCCGTCGGCGCGATCGTCGTCGTCGTCGTCGTCGTCGTCGTCGTCGTCGTCGTCGTCGTCGTCGTCGTCGTCGTCGTCGTCGCCATCGCCATCGCCGCCGCCGCCGCCGCCGCCGCCGCCGCCGCCGTCGTCGCCGCCGCCGCCGCCGCCGTCGTCGTGGTCGTCGTCGTCGTCGTCGTCGTCGTCGTCGTCGTTGCCTCCGCCGTCATCGCCTGGCCAAAGGCCGCCTCAAGATCGGCGCCAGTTCGGGTGTTGGAGCCACGCCCGACCGTGGAGACGAGGACCCCCAGGAATTCCCAGAATCGACGGCGACGACGCCTTCGTCTTCGTCGTCGCCGTGCGCCCAAGCCGCCCTCGCCGTCGCCGCCGCTGCCGCCGCCGTCGGCCACTGCTGTCTCCGCTGCTGCCGCCGCCGCGGCGGCGGCCACGACCACGGCGACGAGGGCGGCGGCGCCACCCTCGCCGCCGTGGTCGTGGTCGCCGTCCCCGCCGTGGTCCGCCCAGGGCGTTGTTCAGCCCGAGCCGCTGGCGTCGCCGGCCGACCCCGCCGCGGAGGGCGGCGGCTGCGCGGGAGCCCGCCGCCGGCCGGTGGCGCCCTGGCGTCATGGCCCTCCCCCAAGAGGGGCCCACGACGGCCCCAAGACGCTCCAAGAGAGCCCCCGAGGGTCCCAAGACAGCCCAACTGGGCTCCCAGACCGCCCCAGAGCATCCCCAAGAGGCCCCTCAGGGATGCCCTGAGGGACCTAGACAGCCTCAGAGGGCCCCAAGACGGCCCAGGAGGCCCCCAAGACGGCTTGAAATTGGCTTCAAGAAACCCCGAAGAGGGCCCATTCGGGACCCTGCATTAGTACAGCGACGGTCAGAACTTCATATATACATATATATATATATATATATATATATATATATATATATATATATATACAGACCTCGACGGCGCATGGGGGTACCAGGGCCTCTGGGGCGCCCCCGGGACGGCTCCCGAGGGCGCCAGAGGCCGCCAAACAGATCAAGAGGGCGCACAAGCCTCGATATATAGCTTGAAGACGCCGACGATGGCTCCAAGAGGGCTCCTGGGAGCCTCCGAGACAGCCCAAGAGGGCCCCAAGAGCCCTCCCAAGAGGGCCCCAAGAGGCAAAAATGGCTCCGTTCCTTTAAGAAAACGTGCATTTTTCAGGGATTCGCCTCTTGACCTTCCAGGGGAACGAAGACGGCCGGAGAGGCCGCCAGGATCGCCCCAAGACAGCCCAAGAGGGTTCCAAGACAGCCCAAAAGGGCCCCTGGCTAGCCCAAGAGGTCCCCAAGACGGCCCAAGAGGGACCCAGGACGGCCCCAAGCAGGGGCCCAGAGAGGGTGCCCTACGAACATTTCAAGCCCTCCGCCCCCAGAGGTCCCAAGGGGCCCCAAGAGCCCCCCAAAACGCCTCCAAGAAGCCCCAGAAAAACTTTCAGGAGCGCCCCAGAGGCCCCCCAACAGCCCCCTGACCAGACGCCCTCAGGTACTCTTCCCGCTCCCGAAGCTTCCAGACCACTCTTCGTTTCCTAAAGCCCGAAACGGGGCCTGGGACCGTCAAACATTTACGACGAAACACCGGGCCCATAGAAGGCCTTCGGACTTCGGGCCCACTCCAGGGACCCCGCGTTGAAAAAGTCACGCTAGCGAATCTCTTGGACAGGATGCAGTCCCGTGGAATGCGCTGGACTTCCAGGACCGACGTGTAGTTACCCGTGGTGGTGTTGATAGTGGTCGTGGATTCGCGGCAGTGGCAGTGTTATTGGTGGTGGTACCGGCAGAGGTTGAACCAATGGCCGTTATAGTGGCCGCGGAAAGTGCAACGTCATGGACGGGGTGGCCATGCCCAGAATGGACATGGAATCGGAAGTGGTCGTGACCGCGGTGATGGCAGAAAGGGTGGTGGTAGCCGTGGCGGCAGTGGCGGTGTTGAGCGTGGTCGCGGGAGTGACTAGAACCTAAGCGCGCGAAGCGCGCGCGTGGTTCTAGTGTGTGTATGTATGTGTGTATATATATATATATATATATATATATGAGTGTGTCCCTCTACCTTCGATAATACAACGGAAAAAAACCTGGGTCGCCAACGAAAAAACCCACGGGTCGCCGGCACCCCCAGTAGGAGTAGCCCCGCCGCCTTCCAGAAAGCCCCAAAAAGCTTCCAAAAGGCACCCATGAAAACCTCGCGGCGGCTCCAGAGGAACCCATGGAAGCGTCGCGACGGCCTCTGACCGAATTTACGGCTCCCCAAGAAATCAAAATCCTTTCCAAAACGCCATCGACAGACCGAAGAGGCCCCCACGAAGCCTGCCTACAGGGCCCCGAGAAGCGAGAATCGTTGATTTTCCATTGTGTTTTTATATGTGTGTTGCTTTCTCGCCTTTTCCGCTTTCCGACACTCCACGGCGGCCCACGAGGCCCCCAGGAGCGCCCCAAGTCGGCCCACGAGGTCCCCAAGCTGGCCCCAAGACGGCCCAAGAGGCGCCCAACAGGGCCCAAGACGGCCCCGAGAAGGCCCTTAGAAGGGCCAAAGAGTGCGGCCAAAAATCAAAAAAATCTACCAGCACCCTCAGAGGATCCGAGCAGCCCTCCAAACGCCATGGGCGTGATCACATTTTTTAATATGCGGGTCGAGAGCGCATCTCTTCCGGTCGGCCACCGCAGGGTTGCTCCGAGAGCAAATTGTGCACCGGGGCGGGCAGGGAAGAGAGAAAGGGAGGGGAATCGCGGAGCCCACTCAAATCGTGAAGGCCTCTAGTGAAATTCCATCGCGCCTCCGATGGCACCAACAGCCTCGGACGTCTGCCGCCACGCCGTCGGCAATCTTCTCCGGCAGTCAGTGACTGTAGCTGCGTTTCAGGGCACTCTTACTGGGGCACCCGTTTTCGGGACCCTAACGAGACCTTCGTACAACAACCGCTACTCCCAGTGTCCTCCCTCGCGCCCCTCTGCCGTCCTCAAGCTTATATTTGTTCAGGTTACTCTTATTGCGCCTCTTCCAGGCCTCCACATCACCGCAGGGCGGAGACAAGAGCCGCGAGCACTGCATCCATGCGTAGTCGTTTTGGCTTCCGACCCAAGGCGGCCGCGTCGGTACTAAACACACCGTGGCCATCAACCATCACTCCGTTTTGCTCGTCGTCGGGATCGGGCCTCCGCACACCCACCCGTGCCCCTGAGTTGCAGCTATGCTCCAATATCGCCAATTCTGAACAATGGGCCGAAAGAAATCCGAATATTTCACATGCTCTGTTTGCACGCACTTGCTGCCGCGCAACCTGTTCACTCCAAACCAACTACACCAGTCTAGCAATCCTTGCAAGGAGTGCGCCTCTAACACCAACGCGCCTGCTTCCAGATTTCCGCGCGCGCGCTGTCACGAACGGCTCCCGCCACAGGATTCCGCCCAACGCAACTTCCACCGCGGCGACAGAGTGTACATTTCATGTGTTCGGTAACCAGATCATTTCTTCGTTTGTGTGTTGTGTGGAGAAACCTGACCACGCGACGATGTGGCTGCCAGCTGGCACGACCGCAGTCAGAACATGTCGGCGTTGCTGTCAACATGGACGACCAGCTCACGCTATTTCCCGCATCGACTTCGGCACCATGACATACAAATGCCCCCACTGCTATGCCAAACTCTTACATTGCGCAGGTGTTGCCTTCTGCTGCGGGACTGGAAAACGTTACGTCGCTTTCATTATTTGCTACGCATCACTGGGACACGCTCTCATGGACGTGTTCAGCAAAACGTGGTTGTACAAGCGCGCGCAGGGACGTGCAGTGCACGACGCCACCACCAACGCACTTCGACGAACAGGATTCTCAGCCGTCAGCCGCCGCTGCAACAGTTTATTTCTCTTCGCGGCGCACGAGATTCAGAGCACCACTTCAGAACGGAACCTGCGTTTCGGCAGCGAGCTCCGGCCTTCCAATGTTCGAATTCACGGCCGCATGTATCGGCGCATCTGGAGTTGCGCAGACAGTACCTCTTTTGCGCCGCATCGTTGCGGACCCCCGGGAGCGCGCCACAAACGCCGCACCGCAGCACGTGGACGCGAAACTTCTGCGACAGCTTGAGAAGCTCATCCTCCCACACTATGGTTACGCACGAGGTTTTCGACGCCTGTCTGGTCCATCAGCACGCGCCCCCATCTGTCGGTGGATCTGCAGTGGGATGAGGGCATCAACGAAATCGCTGCGATTGTGCACGAACCACCCCTATGTCGACGCGTCCGCACGGCATGTTTTCTTTAGAAGAATTTCTTCTCCCGCGCCCCGATGCCTCAACCCGCTGAGCGCCCTGTACGAACATTTGAGCTAGCCACTCTGGTTCCCCGCGGAAGCCGCGGGTGGAGCACCGATGTACAAGCCAGCGCGGGGCAACGCGTCTCCCAAATGTGGTGGTACCGCCAACAACTACTTCGAATGAGTCATATGCGCGTGCGTGGCCTCTATTGAATGAATGGTTGGTGCGCGTGTTTTGTTCCGAATGGAAGATGTAAGGCTCGGACTCATTGCAGGGCACAATCCCACCGAAGCGCGAAACAAACCGACATGTGCGAGGCTTCCACCAACGATCACCTCTTCGTCATGTTTCCCACAATGTCCACAAAACTCCAAGATGCAAGGGTCAATATTAGAAGGCGAAGCGAAGCGAGCCGTAAAATTTGGTAGTCGTATGTATGTGTATGTTTGTGCAGATGCTCGTGGACGCATATATATATATATATATATATATATATATATATGTGTGTTTGGATATGTCGTTGTATGTGTATGTGTGTAGATTTGTGTATATTTATATATATATAGGTTTGAGTGTATGTGTATACATATACATGTAGATGCATGTGTTCATGCTTCTGTTTTTGTGAATGTGTATATGTATGTGCGTATGTGTATATATATACATATATGTATGCATAGGGGTTATATGTATATTGCAAAAATGTATGCGCCCCCCCCAGGCCTCGACCCCCACCTCTGGAACGTCTCCGGACAATTCCCGGCGCCGCCCTCCCGGGGGCCCCAGCGCGCCGCAGGATGGCCGCCCCCCCCCGGGCCCCGATCCCCACCTCGAGAACATCTCCAGACAATCCCCGGCACCGCCTGCCCGGGGCTCCCAACGCGCCGCAGGAAGGCTTCGAGACGGCCCAGGACGCCCCCAAGACAGCCTATGTAAGAGTGCCCCAAGCGGCCCAGACGGCTCTCCAGACTCCAACACCGCCCAAGACAAGCCCAAGGAGGCGCTCGAGAGGCCCAAGCTTTCGAAAGAAAATCAAGGAACACTTATGATTTTCGCAATTTCGCAATTTCGCTTCGGATACGCTTCCGAGCCTTGCGCATGACCCACAAGAATGCCCCAAGATGCCCCCAAGAGGCGCCCCGAGTGGCGTGCAGCTGCCTGGCTGGGGCACCCGAGATGCCCCAAGATGCCCCAAAGAACCGCGGTGAGGCACTCGCGGACGAGCAAGCACACTTGCCTTCTCATCTTTGCGCTGCCGACGCGCCGCTCGGGCCTCCAAGTAGCCCCCAGCAGACCTTGGAAGACTTTC